TCGGCAGGGGGTCTGCTTCTCCCTCTGACCCTCCCCCCTCTCATGCTCTCTCTATCTCAGTCTCTCTCTCAAATAAATAAATAAAACCTTAAAAAGAAAAAAACAAATCCTTAATAGTATGTATTAGAAAAGAGTTTAAAAAAATTAGTTAAGTATCTACATTTTTTTAAAGCAAAAGAGCAAGTTACAGCTAATATATGCACAAAGACATGTTACAGGATCAGATATCAATCTCAAGGTTGTGAGTTCGAGCCCCATGCTGGGCTCAGAGCTTCCTTAACGAGAGAGAGACAGAAATAGAGAAAGAAAGAAATCTTCCCATGAAGGAAACTCCAGGCACAGACGGCCTCACATATGAATGAATACCTAAGAAGTAGCAACAAAATAAAACAAAATCCGACTTCTGGTTTCGGCTCAGATCATGATCTCGGCATGGTGGGATCAGGTCCATGATGGGCTCTGTGCTCAGTGGGTCTGCTTGAGATTCTCTCCCTCCTTCTGCCCCTCCTACTCGTGTTCTCTCTGTCTCTCAGATAAATAAAATAAATCTTTAAAAAAAGAAAAAAAGTGAACACCAGAGACATTGTGCAAGTGGCCGGCACCACGAAGATCTGGACTTCAGAGCGCATCTTTGACCACCCACTGGAAACTGTTACAACAGCTGTAATGCAGAAATACCCAAACTCTATGGACCCAAGTGTGGTTGGAGGTGATGTACTGGACAGTCACACAGATCGCTCTGGAAGGCTGCACAGCCCAAGACTTCTCAGCACAGAGTGGGGACTGCCTTCCATTGTGAAATCTCATATTGCAGCAAGAACTAAAACATTTGTGCAAGAACATTTTGTAGTTGATCCTGCAGAGAAAACGATGGAACTTAAATCTACTAATATTTCACTTACAAATATGGCTTCAATAGTTCGTATACAAACCACACCCTCTGGACCTAGAAAAATCCGTTTTGACTCAAGAAGCCATAATCCCTGGGAAAGGAGTCAGTCTCAGCAGTTACCCTGAAGGACCAACGGCAAGTATGGTATCTTCAAATGCCAACAAAGGTCGAGAAACAACAGAATGGGTAACACATCAATTAAATGCTGAGATTGAAGACCTGGCAGCTTCGGTGAGAGGGAGCACAAAGACATCGACAGCAGCAGCAGGGTTTGTAAGAGAAATGAGGATGAAAGCTGGTATATGACACACCTGCTCCCCACATCTCTGCAAGCTGGCAATATACTTGTTATTTAAAAAACAAAAACATATTTTAGGTAGGATTTTTTTTAATAAGCTGAAGGAAAGCTATAAGACTTTTGATCAAAACAAAGAGGTGTAGGGTTTCTAAATAAAAGGGATCATCCAAAAGTATTGTTTGAAATAACCATCTAATTTCTGAGGATTCTAGTATTTATGTGAAAATTTAACAATTTCTGAAAGGTACTTGGAAAATCATATTGGCATATTAAATCTCCTTTAAGGTAGAATTGTAAAGCTTTTCACGCATTAGAACTCTACCTGGCTTTGGACTAACCCCAGAACAAAGCTGAGCCACCTAAATACATATAATTACCCTGATACAGTAAACCTCAAGAGCTTGCATTAAGGAATGTTTTTTAAAAGAAGAAATTATAGGGGCACCTGGTGGCTCAGCTGGGTAGACGTCTGCCTTTGGCTAAGGTCATGATTTCAGGGTCCTGGGATCAAGCCCCATCTAAGGTTCCGGGCTTAGCAGGGAGTCTGCTTCTCCCTCTGCCTCTGCCCTTCCCCCCTGCTTCTGTGAACACTCGCTCATACTCGCTCTCTCTCAAGTAAGTAAAATCTAGGGCACCGGGGTGACTCAGGCGGTTGGGCGTCTGCCTTTGGCTCAGGTCATGATCCTGGGATCCTGGGATCGAGTCCCGCGTTGGCTGCCCCTGCTCTGTAGGGAGTCTGCTTCTCCCTCTCCCTGCCGCTCCCCCTGCCTGTGTTCTCTCTCTGTCAAATGAATAATAAAATCTCAAAAAAAAGAGTAAAATCTTAAAAAAAGAAAAAATTATGTACTTTTAAAAGACATTAATTTGTGTAAAATAACTTGCTCTGCTATAAACATCATTAAGTGTTTTGTTTGGTACTTAAATGACATTTTTGGAATGAAAATTATAAAGTAATACATAACTTCAACAACAAAAAAGGATTTTATTGTATTAAAGAGTACTGTATTAACTTGCTACAGTTTTGTAACTTAGGAAAGGTATTACCTTCCTTGGATTTGTACTTTAGGACAATATGCTGTAACGTTGGCTTATGATGTTCCCTGAAAAAAATAAAGTCAACCCAGAATTTTGCAGCACTCCAAATGTAGAGAGAACAGCTGTTCACATCTTTTAGCATTTCACGTTTGACTAACTTATAAATTGCCAGGTGTTAAAACCATGGTTCTGTAATTAAGGTTTTTGATTACTTTTTGCAACTGAAGATGGTTTTTACAATTGAAATAATATTTCAGCTAAAGAGAACATTGCTAAACATTGATATTTGATAAAAAGTTGCATTCTATAATTTCTGTAAATTATACTTGTTCTGAAAAAGGTGCAATGCCCTAATGGTAAAAAAATTTCTAAACAAACAAAAGTAAATATCAAGTCCATTAAAGTAGACATAAATGTGAAAGCCAAAACAATACACATTTAAAAATAACAGAGGAGATTATCTATGTGACCTTAGAGTAGGAAAATTAATTTTAAAGAGGACACAAATGACAGCAACATTAACAAATTTAATAAACTAATCCAAGGATCTGGAAAGTTTTCCTTGTAAAGAGCCAGAAAACAAATATTTTAGGTCTTGAGGGCCAGATGGTCTCCATCATTTCACTCTCAACTCCACCCTTGAAGCCACAGATCATACACAAATGTATAGGTAAGGTAATAGGTAATAGGTAGGGATTTGTGAGAGGAGCACAATGGAGGCTTTAGAAGTCCTGCCAGTGTTTGTTCCGACCTATGTATTAGTTATGTGGGCATTAGATTTGTAGTAATTCACTGAACTCTAGACTTAAAATGTGTGGATTTTTTAACACATCTGCTATACATATAAAAATAAGATTTACTAAAAAATAAAACACATTTTAGGTTAGTGATCAAAGAAGTCATCAGAAAGAAGGCTGAAACCTGTGTAGGAAAAAAAGCTCCACATATGGATACTTAGATTTTGCAGCTAAAGTAGTAGTAGAGAGAAATTATATCCTTATATGGGCATAATAAAAAGCTTTACAATAAACTCATCTTCAACAAAAAGTTACAAAAAATAGCCTATAACCAAAGATAGCTGAAGGAAGAAATAAAGGTAAAAGCAGAAGCTAATTAAAACAACAGTGAAGGGGTGCCTGGGTGCTACAGTCGGTTAAGTATCTGACTCTTGATTTTGGCTCAGGTCATGATCTCAGCGTTGTGAGATCGAGCCCCACATCAGGCTCCACACTCAGCGTGGAATCTGCTTAAGACATTCTCTCCCTCTCCCTCTGTCCCCATCCCTGTGCTCACGCATGCGCATGCTCTCTCTCTCAAATAAATAAATCTTTTTTGAAAAACACAGTGAAAATCAATAAAACCAAAAGCTCGTTCCATGAAGAATAAAGTATTATCTGTGATAAACATTAGTCCAAAAAAATCAGAAAAACCATTAGGAATAAAAAGGAACAAATGAGGGGCGCCTGGATGGCTCAGTCGTTGAGCGTCTGCCTTCGGCTCAGGTCATGATCCCAGGGTCCTGGGATCGAGCCCCGCATC